TAAAAATACTATAGGTCTATTATTAGCGAATTAATGTGTTAGATCGATGTTTGGTGTGAAATTTCCTATTTCGGAAAGGTTAAACTTTTAGGTTTAACAGTATATAAGCATATGTACAATATATGTATGATTATTATATATACATACTAGTTTTATAGTTTAATGATTTAATATACTGTAAGTATGATAATCATAAGTAGTTATACGTTACACAAATTATATTTCCGACTATACTCCTTTAGGTATTACTCTAAAAAAAGACTGATGATTTTATTATTTTAATAATTTCTTGTTTATTTTATATTAAATAATAAGTTGAACTTGCTGTTTAACCCACTACTGAAATGTATCATTGAATTGTCTTATGTGTATCATTAAAAACTATTTTTTAAATAGTAAAGAAATACAAATTTTTATTTTTATTTACCATAGAGTACTTTTAATATTAAAAAAATCATATATATATATATTTTGGTAACTGTATACGGTATATGTAGAGAAATAAAATGAAAGTGTCATATTGGTAAGATATTTTCTCATTATGACACAAGTCAAAAACCATCTCATGTCATGTTATACTGTAATTAATTATATTATTCTGTTATCAAATCAAGGGATAGACCATTTGATATCTTCTCTACATAATAATTTCTCTGGCCACCTTGTGACTACCTTCGGCAAAAATATCGAATCTATTTGTTTGTACGAATTAAGGTACATTATTCGTTTATTTTTATGACACCTTCCCACACTCGTGTATATATGCTAACGAGCATTTTTCCGGTTATAGATGCCTATAATCAACGTTTCCCCTTAATATTATTTTATCCATATCTTTGTTTTTTCTTCCTTACAATTATTTTTCCCGAAATGCTCTGCGTATGGAATTGTCGGCATGTGCTTTTTGTACTATTCGAAGAAAACGAACTCTCCCGCACGTGAATTTAAAATCAATGACATCGCTGCGGAAATAAGTAGAATCAATGCATGAAATATCGATGCATTGTAATCAACTATTCATTAACACTGGTCTATTGGACCGCAACGAATCGATCACGTTATCTCGAAGAAAACAGGAACAGTTTTAAGCGTGTTTTTAATTCGAAAAAGTAAGTGGGGGATACTATGGATTATGTGAAATTCGTGAACTTATTTATAGAGGAAAATATTAAGTAAGGCACCAGAATTTAACAGTTATGTCAACTATGAGATGTGCAGTTAGTAAAGAAATTATCGATAATTTAAATAATAATAATGTGGAGTAGTGAGGGTAGGAACTGCATTTGAAACATCTTGCTATACTCCGTTTGTTTATTGCCTTCATTTATTGCTTTACGAAAAATGAAAAAAACATAACAAGGATCTCACTTTAATTTTATAAACATGTGCGCATGTATTATGTGTATATACATTCTCAAATATAAATTTTGTGTTCGCTATCAAGCAAAAAATAACTTGATGCCGCGACTCATATTAAATTGTTTAGAATCCCCTCTATGCGTCCAAATATTTAAAGTTTTAAAAATTTTTTTAATCTTCTTTCTTCCCGGCGCAATTTTGGTGACTCACTACCCACAACCTCACTCAAGCCAAAATCAATAAAAAAGTAATGGCGACTCTTTGGTTCATATAAAATATTTTTCTCGGAGATATCATTGTGTAGAATGCCACAATTATGTATTGACTTTAGCTGATTGACTATTAACTTTTTTTCCTCTTTAGTGAGTCTTTCCGGATCAATGTGACGAGCGCCCTCGATTAATTGTAACGCTAACGCAAAAAGATATCCGTCATAAATGTAACCGTTGTAGAACAAACGTGGAATATCACGACCTAATATCAATTGTTGCAATAGACAAGTTAATATTATCAAAAAAATATTATGAATGAAAAAAATTTGTACCTTGACATTCTTTCAAAATAGAATATATATGAGCTTCATGCTTTAGCGTTTTCATCTCCTCTTGTTTCTTATATGCATCACAAGTCTTCCATGCTACATCTTGATTATCATAATATCCAGAAAAAACTTTTCCAAAGGATCCGCCACCTATGTACTTATCTACAGTAGTAATTCCCTTGGATGAACTCGCAATTGGCCTACTACTGCTCTTTGATGTTCTCTTCCTCTTCCCTAAACCAACATAATCATCACCATCATCATCAGAGCCATCAGAGTCATCATCAGGGTCGTAATCAGGGTCGTCATAATCTTCAGGATCATGGTAACTAGAGTCATCATCATCATCATCATCATTAGATGAATAACTGTCAAGCTCTACACGTCCCAATCTATTACCAGCAATATCATCAATGGCAAGTTGGCTGATATAGTAAAAGCATTCGCGTAAAGTCGGATTAGTATCAGTGGGTTGAACAACACGAGAAATATAAAGGGTGGTTGGATTTGTTTCTTCTCGCTTGAGAAAATATGTATCGCTATAACTTGATAAAATGCCATAATGGAGGCCATTACAGGCCATTTGACCAAGTATCTGTGATAGGATGCGTTTCTTGAATTTAAAATTTGGATCAAATCTTCGGTCTCTAAATATTGGGTTCATTATTCCACGCCGGTCATTATATCGATAAATTTGCCAAAAATTATAACCGCATAAATAGAGATTGTGGCGCGTTTTCATTTCCACCGGCATCTTGTCCTCAGTGTAATTATTAGTGCATAAAACATAATCAGAAGCACCTAAAAATCCGGCAGGTGTTGCACCAAATAGTGCTTGTGGTAATAACATTTCGACAGGCGTTAAAACATTTTGGAGTAAACGAGCTTTTGCATCGTCTTCGACCCTAAGAGGTCCTACACTTGTGTATCCAATGGGGAATTGTCCTTCTGGAAGGGGATATTGCGTATCCGCACGTCTGACATTTCGAAAGAATCCGATCCACTCCCTCACGTTGTCTGGAAACCGTGGGTAAGCAGGTATTGTTGTTGTTGTTGAAGTTGGATTAGGTGAATTGTGCGGAAACCATTGGCAGACCGGAACGACTTGACCTAGTATTTGACCTGCCGTTTGAGCCATAATAATAGACCCTGTGCGACAGAAAAGTTTCACAACTAAGCCACTTTAATTTCGATCATCCATATTTGGGACAGGAAATTTTCGGACCCTAAAATTATTATGATCTGCATACCCTAAATTTATACAGTATATATTTTCGAATATTTTAATGGCCACATATATATTTATTAATTAATACATCTATTATTGAATGTACTATTTTAAGATTATAATATGAAGGTGAGTTTTAAAATATAACAAAAAGTAAACAGATTTACAAAATATAAATAAATAGTAGGTTTAAGAAACATAAATAAAATATGAAGTGAAGTAAATAGATTTGGGAAATATAAGATAAGATAAATGGATTTGTAAATATGAGATGAAATAAATTGATCACGAAACCTGAAATGAAGTGAATGGGTTCTTGAAATGTAAGGCAAAGAGAATGGATTGTGAAATATAAGATGAAGTGAATAGTTTGCAAAATGTGAGGTAAATAGTAAGTAAAACATGGAATAAAGTGAATGGATTGCAAAATATAAGGCGAAGTGAATATATTGCAAAACATGAAATAGAGTGGATGGTTTGTAAAATGTGAAATATAGTGAATGTAAAACATGAAGTAAATAGATCGCGAAATGTGAGGCAAAGTAAATAGCCTGCAAAATGTGATGTAAAGTAAATTAATTTTTAAAATATGAGATGAAGTGAATTGGTTTATTAAACGTAAGGCAAGAAAATAGTTCATGAAATATGAGACAAAGAAAATTAATTGCAAAACATGAGGTAAGGTGAATGATTCACAAAACTTGAGGCGAAAATAATGGTTTGCAAAACACGAGGTGAAGAAAATGACTCAATAAACATGAGTAAATTAGTTTACAAAATGTGAGGCAAAGTAACTGATTTGCGAAATGTGAGATAGAGTAAATAAATCACAAAATGTGAAATAAAGTTAATTGATTTGCGAAACATAAGGTAAAAAGAATAGTTCACTAAACATGAGATAAATTGAATGGTTTGTGAAATATGAGGCAAAGATAATAGTTTGCAAAATATGAGATAAAGAAAATGGCTCAACAAATATGAGTGAATTAATTTGCGAAACATGAGACAAAATGAATAATTTGTAAAATATGAGATGAAGTGGGTAGATCGCAAAATGTGAGATGAAGTTAATTGGTTTGCAAAATGTAAAGTAAAAAGAATAGTTTGCTAAACATGAGATGAAATAAATAGTTTGCAAAATATAAGGCAAAGATAATGGTTTGTGAAATGTGAGGTGAGGTGAATTATTTACAAAACGTGAGGTGAATAAATAGTTTGCAAAACATGAGATAAAGATAATGGTTTGTGAAATGTGAGGCAAAGAGAATGGTTTATTAAACATGAGTGAATTGATTTGCAAAATATGAGGCAAAGAGAATGGTTTGTGAAATGTGAGATAGAGTGGATAGATCATGAAACATGAGATGAAGTTAATTAGTTTACAAAACATAAGGTGAAGAGAATGGTTCACTAAACATGAGATGAAGTGAATAGTTTGCAAATATGAGATGAAAAGAATGATTTGCAAAATATGAGGTAAAATGAATAACTCACTAAATATGAGACAGAGTGAATTGATTTGTGAAATGTAACATTAAATAGATAAATTGCTAAATATGAGATAAAGTGAATAGTTTGTAAAATGTAAGGTAAGTTGAATGGTTTGCAAAATATGAGGTAAAGTAAATTGGTTTGCAAAATGTGAGGTGAAGATAATAGTTTGCAAAATGTAATATGAAAAGAATGGCTTACTAAACATGAGATAAAATGAATTAATTTATAAAATATGATGCAAAGTAATAGTTGTAAAATATGAGATAGAGTGGATAAATTGCAAAATATAAAGTAAAGTAAATAGATTTGTGAAATATAAGGTAAAGAGAATAGTTTGCTAAGTATAAAGTAAAGAGAATAATTTGTGAAATATGAAGCAAAGTGAATAGTTTGCAAAATGTAAAGATAAGTTTCTAAATTAAAGGCAAAAACATAATTCAAATGTTCTTTACTATTAAAAAAATTTTTTTTTAAATATAAGATTAAAAAAAAACTATCTATAAAATTTTTTTGCAATTTAGATTACTTGATTCAAGTGTTTTTTGAATTATAACCCTATTAAAGTAATAAATAAATGATTATATTTCTTCAAAAGGGACATAATTGATTTGTGAGATTTTATATGCTAAATAATTTAGGAATCCATCCTTAGTGAAATGTGAGATGAAGTAAATAGATCACAAAACATGAAGTTAAGTAAATTAATTCATGTAATGTGAGGCAAAGAGAATGGCTTACTAAATATGTGGTAAAGTAAATTAATTTGCGAAATGTGAGGCAAGAGAATGATTTGTAAAATATGAGATAAAGTATATTGGTTTGCGAAATATAAAGTGAAGTAAATAAATCATAAATGTGAAGTGAAGTAAATTAGTTTGCAAAGTATAAGGTGAAGAATGGATTATAAAATAAAATGAATGATTTGTAAAATATGAGATAAAATAAATAGTTTGCAAAATATAAAATAGAATAAATAGTTTGCAAAATATAAAATAGAATGAATAATTTATGAAATATAATATAAAATAGATAATTTGTAAAACTTGGTATGAGATGAATAGTTTGTAAAATATAAGACAAAGAGAATAGATTGCAAAATGTAAAATAGATTGCAAAATATGAGATGAAGAGAATATATCATGAAATATAAAATAAAATAAATTATATGATTATTATTATATAGCATATTAAGTTGCAAAAATCATGAAAATTATAAAAAATAATTTAATTTTTATATTTTTTAAAAAAAATAAATATGAAATAGAACCCGTATGGGAAAAAATAGCTGGATCCAAAGTCATATATAACTATTTTTTTTTTTTTTTTTTAGTAGGTAAACATTATTTCTTTATTTGATTTGTATATGTCAAGGTATACATCGTAAAAGAAACAACATCTCT